CTTTCGGTTGGAGATATTTATGTAACAAATAATGTCCAATTGATTGTGCAAAGCTTTTGGACAAAATTAAAGCTAATATTCAAGGAGAAAAGCCCATAATACTTTTTCTATATATGGAACTCAAGACCTACATTGGAATGAAAGAACTATTTGTTGAAGATTTAGAGCGATAGGGTAGAGTCCTTGTTATTGCTTTATGTACACCTCTATGTATTAGTAACTTGACATAGAAGGTCGTCTAGTTGAGTTGTAATATTCAACATTGGTAATTGGGTTAATCACTAATCACTAGGGTTTAGTGATTAAGAGAAAGTGATAAGGGTTCTCATATTTATGAGGAGACCTAAATAGAAAGTCATTGGATAGTGTTAGAAAGAGGCATTGGACAACACATGGCTTATTGTTTCTTGTAAGAATAAATGTATTAAACTACTAGTAGTGAATTTTCTTTCTTGGGTTTGAAGCCAACCCTCCAGACGTAGGTGTTGTTGCATCGAATTGGGTTGCCAATTATTGTGTTCTTTATTGCTTTTTTGCTCCATCATCTTTTAAAATTTAATTAGTGTTTATTGGATTAATTCTAGTTATCATGTCGAACCAGTTGCGTAGGACATTGTGTCCGACATTTGTCCCCTGAGGAACATAATTTCAATTCACATCAGAGCAGACACCCTGTTCTATTTGGGTGATCTCCAAGGAAGATATATTATGTTCAAGTAGAGAACTTCAATGAAGGAAAAGTTGTTTATCAACCAAAGATTTTTCATGGTGCAAAGAATCATCCAAAGATTGTTGATACTTATGAAGATTGTGATGTTCAAGCAGAATGTAATTCTAAAGACCACCTAAGGCTCAATAAGAGGTTTAGTAAAATCTTGAGACAACTTGACAAGAGATCTAGGAATAATATCCTCACCAATGTCAAAAACACTCAAAATAAAGGAAAGGGTGGTGAGAGGCAAAAGCTTAACTATTCCTAAAAGTTAACAGGGATCCAATGTCTTAATAACTAAGACTTTGGTCATAGTCAAGTTGAATTCTCAAGTGTTCCAAGGGAACAAATAAGAATCTCCAATGTCTCAAATTATGATGAAGGTGAAGATGATCAGGGAAACAACGGTGTTTCTTTCGAAGATATGTATACTTGTGAGCAATCAAATTCAAATAAAAGGTGCATTACTCCTATTTAGAAGTCAAATTGCAAAATGTCAGTTAACATGTCTTAGCATCATGTCAAACATGATTACCATATTATTAAGTGTGTCTCCTCCATTCCCATGTACTTCTGTAAGATATATAGAAGTTTACCACACCATCAACAACTATCATCAGTGGAGTGACAATTTTCAAAGGCAGCATCAACAAGTTTGGCTTGACAATCCTAATATCCTTGTTGCTTGTTTCTCCCAGGAGGAGCTCTCTTGTGAAGATTGGTACCTTGAAAGTGGCTGCATTAGGAAGATGATAGGAGAAAGAAACCTTGATGCTCCTTGTGATAGCCATAAGAAAAGGAAATTTGTAAAGATGAAGATGGTGGTTGCAGAGAAGATTGTTGAAAATCATGGTACACAAATCTCAGAAGACATGTTAGAAACCGAAACTAAGCCTTGGCACACAAAACTTAGGGTTTGTTGCAGAAAGAGTTGTCACATATGTACTGATCTCAATGCTGAAGAAGGAAGTAGTTGTCAAGTTTTCCTTCTTGAGAAGGAAACCAAGATGCCTTACTAGATGGTTCAACATATTTCTCCTACTTATGATTTACCACATATTGACTTTATGAGACTCAAGCAAGGGTTTATCATTGAAGGGAAGGTTGATGATCAGGCTGGAGGTCCTCATAACATTGAACAAATGGGGGTTCACAAGAAGAAGAATAGGGATGATGGCATTCCTTCTCATATGTTTGGAGTTTTGGTTAACCATAACCATGAGAGTGAGTTTGGTAAAGTTAAAATTGGTGTTACTCATAGTACCTTGAAGTCCAGGCTGAATGTCAAGAAATATGTTCTAGATATTGCTCTCTACAACATTCCATATGTTGAAAAATACGATCTATCTGCTAATGGAAGTGTGATTAATGTCTCTCACATGTATGTGCATTTGAAAAATCATCATCTCATTCAGGTGTCTTTTGGTGAAGAGACCCAAGAAACCAATCTGGGAATTTTGAATAATGATAATGATGTGTCAGACATCTTTTCTGACATGTTGATACAATCTCAAATTCATAAGGAGATTGATGATCATGAAGATGTTGAGCTTGATACTCTTGTATTCAACTACGGTTTTATTAATAACCATGAGCATGTAGTAAAAGATGGGAGTGTATGTGATTTTGATACTTTTGGAGCCATCAGTTTGAGACCTAGATTGTCTTGTATTTGAAAACTCAAACTTAATCATATGGATGAACAAAATACCTTTTTTTAACAGATATTTGAATATGGAATATGAAGACCATCTTTGTGTCAACATAATAAAGAGAATCATGGAGATAATAAAGTCTCGTAACAAGAGTACAAAGAACACCAAGAAGAAGTATAGGTCTGATCATGAAACCCATAAGAGATTTCATTCTACTACTCATTCAAAGCAGACAGAGGATGAAAGTGAAGTTAATATGAACCAAAACTTATGCAAAAACATGATTGGTAGTCTACTTTACCTCGTAACAAGCAGAACTGACATCACATTCTCTGTAAGGGTGTGTGCGCGCAAGATTTTAAGCAAAATCCAATGCCAGTTATCTAGCTCAAATTAAGAAAATATTCAAGTGTGTCAATGGGAAATGTAACTATGGTATACTTTACTTACAAGACGCCAACTCAATACTGGTTGGATATTGTGATACTAATTAGACTGAAAGTGTAGATGATAGAAAGAACACATTTGATGGGTGCTTCCTTATTGGGAACAACTCTATATCCTAGTTTAGCATGAAGAAAAATTGTGTCTCTTTATCAACAACTTAGGCTGAACATCTGGCTGCAAAGAGCAGTTTAATAAAACTATTGTGGATGAAGCATATGTTGAAGGAGTACAATGTGGAACAAAAAGTCATGACATTATTTTGTAACAATCTGAGTGCTATCAAAAGTAAGAACTCGTTTGTCATGGATGAGGTTCAAACTGATGTGACTACTCGCGAAGAAAGGAAACTGATGTTGTTAGTCTTAAGGAAGAGCAAAGATTGACTGACATATTAGAAAAAAAAACTATGCTACCTGCTGAAGAAGATGGAAATTTTTATGTTGCTGAGTCCTTTGATCTTATTGATCATCCTAAATCCATTATATTAAAACCTCGAATATCATTTGAATTCCTTCCTTTTGCCAACCAAATGAGGAAAATCAGGTAAGAACAAGGATAATGGTGGTGCTAATTAGTGTAACTGTTCTCCCCATCATAAGGTATTGTGCTAAAATGAAAGTATTTGTACCAAATGGGAATAACCATTATAAGGATGTTGTCAAAAGAAACCTTGATAGTTGAAGAATATGTTTTACTTCTAGAGGAAGTCTATGAAATCATGTATATTGTTGACTTATCAGGAAGTATGGTAGAGCATGTTGTTCATCAAATACAGTTTAGTGATGAGTTAAGCATTACATATGCTAGTATAGTAAGTTTTTTTATGTATGCTATGGTCTATACCAGACCAGACATAACTTAGTAGTAAGCCTTGTAAGTAGGTACATGAAAAATCTTGGAAAAGCTCATTGGAAAGCTTTGAAATGGATCCTAAGATACATAAAAGGATCACTGAGCAGAATCTTGATTTATGGTGGAGCTAGAGATCATGATGACCAAAGGAAAATCGAAGAGTTTGTGGACTCTAACTATTTAGGATGTATAGACACCGCAAAATCAATGTCTGTATATTATGCTCGGCACAACAATTAGTTAGAAAGCAACACTTCAGAAGATTGTAGCCTTATAAACCATTGAAGCGGGATACATTACCCTCACTGAAGCTGTGAAAGAAGCATTGTGACTTGAAGGTTTTGCTAAGGAGTTGAAACTTCAAGGTCAAGCAATCATTGTTAAATGTGATAGTCAAAGTGTCATACAATTGTCAAAGAATTCAACTTATCATGAAAGGAAAACATATTAATGTTATGTTGCATTTTGTTAGAGAGAAAAATAAAAGGGGAAAAGTAAAGGTGATTAAGGTTTCGACCGATCACAATGTTGCTAATATGATCATCAAGTCATTGTCAAGTTGCAAGTTCTTCCATTGTATGCCGTTGATAAAACTGCATGATGGTAGCTAGTTTGTTTCATGGTTTGGAGTTAGTTCATAGGTGGAGATTTGTAGCTTTGTTGTTAGAAGCTAGTTGGATGGAACTCAAACGCATTAGATGTAGCTGTAGCTTTTCGACAGAATGGAAGACTGGACATTTTGACAATGTCAAAATTTGAAGAGTGTTGTAGTCGAAGTCAATTCATTTATATTGTAGCACTCAACATGTATATAATAATTATGTCTATCATGTAATGATTTAATATTCATACATTAGATACATATGCTAGTAATCTATAATAATCTATAAGTAGGTTGTGTTCTCTCACTTTATAAAAGAGATGGTTGATGATTCACTTATAAGTAAATAATACTTTTTGTCAAAGTAATAAAAACTATCTTTTAACCATCTTTGTTATCTCTTTTTAAATCTAAAGATTTCTTAATTTTAAAGAAATTTTCTGGTTCTCACAATATTATTTTTTAATCTAAAGATTTCTTGATTTTTAAGAAATTTTCTCGTTCTCACATTATTACTTTGTACTTGGCATTGAGTTTCTCAATGGAATGGATGGAAGAGTTGACTGTGGCTAAGATATTTATTGAAGTACATATGTTTTAACATTATAGGATTCATGTCGCATGTATAATTACCATGTTTTTCACGAGAGCAAACGTAGGCCTCACCATATCCATACAAGTTTATGTTATTATTTCATTTCCACTCATTCATCACAAACACTTTTAAGTGATAATGGAAACATGGTTCATTGCACTACTCTCGCTCTTCATCATCTTCCTCATCAAAGCCACTGTCTCCACCCTCATCACCACCGCCAAAACCGCCGCACTCCCTCCCGGTCCACTCCACATCCCCGTCTTCACAAGCATCCTATGGCTCCGAAAATCCTTCGCCCAGCTCGAACCTTTCCTTAAAACCCTCCACACCAAATATGGTCCTATCATCACTATCAGAATCGGTTCTCGAGTTTCTGTTTTCATCTCCGACCGTTCTCTTGCACACGGCGCTCTCATTCATAACTCATCAATCTTCTCCGGTCGTCCTAAAGCACTTCCCACCGGAAAACTCATGTCTAGCAACCAACATAATATCAGTTCAGCTTCTTATGGTGACACGTGGAGGACCCTTCGTCGTAACCTCGCTTCCGAGATGCTTCATCCTTCGAAAATCAAATCTTTCTCAGAAATCCGGAACTGGGTCCTTGACATTCTCGTCAACCATCTCAAAACCGCTTCAGAGTCGGAGTCCTTTCCCGTTGTTCCTCACTTTCGTTATGCCATGTTTTGTTTACTTGTTTTTATGTGTTTTGGTGAAAGAGTTAACGATGAGAAAATCAGTGAAATTGAAAATGAAGAAAGGGCACTTCTGTTGAGTATAAGTAGATTCACTATCCTGGATTTCTGGCCTGAAGTTACTAAGATTTTGCTGCGGAAACGATGGGAGGAGTTGTTGAAGTTGCGTAAGGATCAAGAAAATGTTTTGCTTCCGCTGATAAGAGCGAGGAAGCAAAATAAGGAAAGTAGATTGAGTGATGTTAACAGTGTTGTTTCTTATGCAGATACTCTTTTGGAATTGGAGTTAAAGGAGGAGAATCGCAAGTTGAGTGAAGATGAAATGGTTACTCTTTGTTCCGAGTTTTTGACTGCTGGCACGGACACAACCACCACGGCTTTGCAGTGGATTATGGCGAATTTGGTGAAGTATCCGAACGTGCAGAGAAAACTTGTGAAGGAGATTGGAGAGGTGATTGGTGGTGATGATAATGGAGTGAAGAAGGAAGTGAAAGAGGAAGATTTGCAGAAACTTCCTTATCTGAAGTGTGTGGTTTTGGAAGGATTGAGACGTCATCCACCTGCGCATTTTGTGTTGCCTCATGCGGTGACAGAAGATGTGGTTTTGAATGGTTATTTGGTGCCTAAAGATGGGACGGTGAATTTTATGGTGGCGTAGATGGGTTGGGATCCTCTCGTTTGGGAAGATCCAATGGAGTTTAAGCCAGAGAGGTTTTTGAAGGATGAAACGTTTGATATTACGGGAAGTAAAGAGATAAAGATGATGCCGTTTGGAGCTGGGAGGAGGATTTGCCCTGGATATCATTTAGCTTTGCTTCATTTGGAATATTTTGTGGCTAATTTGGTTTGGAATTTTGATTGGAAGGTTCCAAAGGGTGGAGATGTGGATCTGTCAGAAAAACAGGAGTTTACTATGGTCATGAAAAATCCATTGCAGGTTCATATTTCCCCTAGGATCTAGATTATGTGTGACAATAACATGTGGATTTGTCATATGGTTAGATTCTGCTTCATCCAATGATCCATTATACATTCATGTGTGATTATGATATGATATTGCTTTTGTGTAAGAAAAAGACATTACAGTTTATTAAAGTAATAGGTGTTTATTATATTTGATATTACAGGGAGTAAGATGAACTATCGATTAATAAAAAAAAAAGATAAATTATGAGTTTATTAAAGTATGTTTTAGAAAAAATAAATTAAAAACAAAATTGAATAAGGTTTAACAACCATTCAACTCAACTACTTAAAATTTTTATAGAAGATATTGTCAAGTATTTAGGTGAGACATGATAAGCTACTACTTGCAACTCTGCAAGTAAAATCCAAAGCCTTGTTCATGGAGCCATCCACAATATCATCCACCATTATTCCCCCAACTTCATGGTTTACACCCAAAAGGTATATACTAATTTTGGTATATTTTCTATTTATATCCTTGTTGAGTACTAAGTATTAATAAAGGAAGTAAAGTTTCAACAGTTTTTGCATTGTTATAGCTCGTGGCCACAAATTTTTTAACCGATTTCGGGTTGTTCTTTTTGGCTCTATTTTTCTACTGGAATTACTTATAGTCTATATTTTTTTGTAGGTTACTTGCTATATTTTGTGTGATTAACTTGTTAACCTATTTGGATCGAGGAGCAATAGCTAGCAATGGTGTTAATGGTAGTAAAGGAACATGCACTGAAGGTGCTGTTACTTGCACTTCTGGTTCAGGAATACAGTAAGATATAGAATTATTGATCAGATTTTACTTATCTCGGAAAAACATAGTTTTCATTGTATTATTACGAGCACTTGTCAAAATGGATTTCGAGTCGTGTAGCCATTTTGGCGATGTAATGGTTTTTACTATATTTGTACCCTTCCTTGTTTGCAGAGGGGACTTTAACTTGAACAATTTTGAAGATGGAGTTTTATCATCTGCTTTTTTGGTAGGACTTATGGTGGCTTCTCCAATATTTGCCTCTCTAACTAAAAGGTAATTCGAGTAACCGTGCAAAATGATTTAACAACAAAAACTTCTGAACTTCATATCAATCCTTTTTTTCGCGATTCATAAATTTTGCAGTGTAAATCCATTTAGGCTTATAGGAGTTGGATTGTCGGTTTGGACTCTCGCAACCTTATTTTGTGGTTTTTCTTTTGATTTCTGGTCCATTTTAGTCTGTCGAATGTAAGTGGTTCCTTGTTTTCCAAGTTCTATGCTTTTGTCGCGTGTAAATGGTTTGTTTCCCTCTTTTTATGGTTTTGTTATTCTGAATAGGTTTGTTGGTGTTGGTGAAGCTTCGTTTGTAAGTCTAGCAGCGCCTTTTATCGATGACAATGCCCCGGCTTCTCAGGTTTGTTTATGTAATCAAACTGTCATAAAGAATATTCTTGCTCTTTCTTCTTTCTGATGTAAATATCTATCTCCATCTCGTACTCGTAATGTGTATACCAGAAAGCAGTATGGCTCGCAGTATTTTACATGTGTATACCATCGGGATCTGCGATCGGCTATATCTATGGTGGTTTGGTAAGTCTTTACCTCGTTTTCATACCGCTATTAAAGAGTCAATTTGAGTGTTTTACCTATTTAGTGTTCAATTACAGGTCGGGAGTCATTTTGGTTGGCGTTATGCATTCTGGATAGAGTCTATATTGATGCTTCCATTTGCTATTTCCGGATTTTTAATGAAGCCTTTAGAGTTAAAAGGTGCATATATTTCTCGCATTGATTTATAATAAAATCCCTATTATTGTTTCGACGTGTAAACTACTTTTGGATCAGGGTTAGTTCCCGCCGATTTGATAAAGGCAGAAGTACCAGAGGATAAATCCAAGTTAGTACTCATACTTTCCAGTTTTCGATTTCTCATACCTTATACCGTCTAACATCTGATTGGTTCTTGTTTTAGTTCTACGTCTAAGGCGAAAATGTTTGATGAGTTCTCAAGATTTTGGATCGATATGAAAGCGCTTCTGCTTAATAAGGTTTATGTTATTAATACTCTAGGTACTTGTCACTCCAACTAATCTACTGCATGTATCAACTGTTTTTGTAACATTTTGTCGATAAATTTGTGTCAGAAAGATGTTGTTTAGATAACTTGCTTTCCAAGAAACTTCACATCTTACTGTCCTTCACATATTCTATTTTTAACAACCATATTTTACCGCATCTCGTTATTTAACCTCCCGAGTTAAATACCTATGTTCAGGTTGCATAGGGTACGTCTTTGTCTTAGGTGCGGTGGCATATTGGGATCCGAGAGCGGGCTATAATATTTACCACATGGTGAGAGTCTGCTTCATCTAATGACCCCTAATGCATACACACATACATACAGCTTTATATCATATTTATTCATTATTGATGTATCTTGTTTCTTGTAGACTGATGCAGATTTGGTATTTGGAGGAATTGCGATGGTATGTGGAATAGTAGGCACGTTAGCCGGAGGTTTCGCTCTCGATTTTGTGAATAACAGTAACACCTTATCAAATGCATTTAAGGTTGGAATTCAAATCTGAGATGAGTTCTACATATTCCTCTTGTCTGCATAATAAACACTATTCTTTTGCAGCTTCTCTCGGTGACAACACTTTCTGGTGCAGCATTCTCTTTTGGTGCCTTCTTATGCGAAAATGTGAATGCCTTTCTTGCACTTTTGTCTATCGGCGAACTTCTTGTTTTCGCCACTCAGGTACTTTACTCTCATCAATGAATCTTTAGCAGCTCTTCAGTTTTCATCGAAATTATTGTTTGCTTGCGGTTTTCTTTTCAGGGTCCTATGAATTATGTGTGTCTCCGTTGTGTTGAACCAAGTTTGAGGCCGCTATCGATGGCTATGTTAACCGTTGCAATTCATCTCTTTGGAGATGTGCCTTCCTCGCCTCTTGTCGGACTTCTCCTGGTTAGTATTTACCGATTACTCGCCACATCTTGTACAATTTTTATTTACTATAATCAATGTTTTGGAAATTCTTAAATGGAAATGCAGGATAGCATTAACAACTGGAGAACAACTATGTTGATCCTAACGACCGTATTGTTTCCGACGGCTGGAATATGGTTTATCGGTATGTCATCGTGAAATGTTAATTTTCAAACAAACGAAATCTTGTTAATTTACTGAAGATGAGAGTGATTAACGTGTATGTATATCTTGTAGGAGTATTTGTGCATAGTGTGGATAGATTTGAAGATGATAGTGGAAATCAAGTGTGCACCATACCTTTGCTTCAAGAGAAGACTGAAGAAACATCAACATCTAATTCACAATCTCAAGAATGTTGATTTTTTCTGTTATTTTCTTATTTATAAATTATGCACAGAACAAAATAGTCTACCATATTCTAATACTTGTGTGCAACAAGAAGCAATGAAGCTAGATAGTGCTTTCTACTGTTAGTCAACAATCTCGTGTCGAACTAACCAGCAACATCAGAGTAGCTTGTTCTTAAATTCCATGAGGAAGCTTGTAACATTTTTCCAGTTTCTTATCACATTTTACTTTTACAAAGTTCATGAAAAAGTAATTTAAAAAGAGATTAGTTTTTTGTGTTTTCACTTTAAAAAATGGTTGCTTCTATGATGTTTGCTGCTTAAAGATGTGTTCCATTTCAATGCTTTCTTGTGTTAACCATTTTTGTGGAAAGTTAAATAAAGAATGACACAAAACTTAGAATACAAAATCAAGATAGATGTATTCAATATTTCAACTAGTGCCTAACCAAGAGGGCATTGATGTCAAGGACATAATCGGAATTCATAAATAGAATCGTAAAAAAGCATTGCCATAAACATTGATACTCTTCTGCCAATGCATTTACACAAGTGACAGCTCTCCAGCAGGAATTGATCTCTTCACAAGCTTACTCCAAGATTCATTCGTCTCTGTGATTACCTTTAGCGCATAATCCTATTCACAAAAAAATAAGTTTGAGTTTTGACGAACTTAGCCGAGACAAAATGAGGCCATTAACATCACAGTGGATTATATGATAAATGCTGTGCTTTTATTTTTCTTTTTACAACTCTATGGGAATTTCCAGCCACGTTCAAGGATCTAATTTATTGTGATAACTGCATTCAGAGATTTGTGCAGTGAAAGTACCTTGTTTACTGCCTTGTTGCCGAGGCCAAATCTATTAGCAGGCTTCCCGTCGGGTATCTTGTAGTCTCTGAACCAATCCCTAATTGCAGTGAGGGTTCCCTGAAAATAATCGAAGATTAATATCACACAAAACTCACAGATCATGACACCAATTACGCATCATCAAATAGTTTAGGTAATAGAGCTTACTGGAAAATGATTCTCAACATCATCGATGTCGTTCACAAGTGAAGCTTTTGGATCATCTAATGAAATTGCTACTATTTTCCAATCAAGTTCTCCTTCATCAATCATGGCTAATGCAGCCAAGGGTTTGACCCTGAGAACCTCTCCTATCTTCCTTTGGCTTTCACCGATTTCAACGACATCAACTACATAAAGATAATAGGAATTTCAGGCACGCTTACTTGCAGCATTATTTATGAAAAGATGTTGAGATAACATAATGGAAAAGATTGGAATGGAGAGTACAGTCATTGCTCATTTAATAGAATACCTGGATCATTATCTCCGAATGCTCCTTCAACTTCATCGTTTGCAAGAGTTGGATCTTCCCATGTTTGTGGAAGTAAGCCATAGTTCCAATGTATATTATAGCTGGGAAGAATAAAAAAGAACTTATGAATGTGACACAAAATACTAAAATTTTTATACATACGAAAAAAGAACAGTATGAGCTATGAAGTTGTCTCTCACGGGTAAAAGCGAAGCTTCCCCTTTTTAATATCCTGTTTTATAGGAGTGAAAGGCTCGTCGGTGGCAACCTCCATCTTTGCACTGGATTCTTTTGGTATTTCAACAATGAAGTTGAAGACGCCATCACCTAGCTGCAATGGAACATCATGCCATGGAGAAACCTGCAAATTTTACAAACTAATTTTAGTTCTTACAGTTACACAGACCTAAAGGCCTCTATTGTGAGGGGGAAACCCACATTTCAGTGAACTCACACTCATTCATAGAACATTACTGTAAATTTTCCTTTCTTCATAAAAAACTCATGTTATTCCATACTAAAGTCATTAGGTTCGTTACCCACTTCCTAGCTGCCAAATTTAAGCAAATGTAAATAGCTAACTTGATACCTTCCCACGTGATTGAGGTTGTCTACAATACTACTCTACTCTGGTCACTATTACCGTGTCTGATTGATAACTAGACCAGATACATAAGTTATTCAACGAACCTAAAAATAAAATCTCTGCTTAAAATAATGACCGGAGGATGTACCAAAAACCGCAATCACGAGGCGACCATGATTTAAATCCTTGATCACATCTCTATCAACTTGTGAAGTACGTCAAAATTAGTTAACACCATACTGAACACTATCCCTTAAACAACTGAACAATCAATTGATGAATCTGTAAAAGTAAGCAAAGCTATTTGTTCTGGCCAGCCCAATACGAGAGAGGCTCAATTACCATCAATCGTATATAAGTCATCATGGGTGCGGTCTAAAGTATGACTCTAATCATAATTCACTCTACCCCTCTTCATTCACTTACTAACTTCGGTTAGAGTGTTAAAGGTCCACCCCATGCAACCGCATCAGATCTGCACTACCACATCAAGAATCTATACCAACAATTCTGGTTCTCGAATGGAACAGAACACTACTAAACCACGTATACAACTCGTAGACAAAAAACCAAAGCTAAACTAAACAATTCCACCATATAATATATTACTTATTTCTAAACCACCATCACCATCATCATTCCATCAAACAACAAGCCCACCATTAAAGAAAGAAACTTTAAAACCCCAACATCATAAATTCGTAATTATAAGCAAAACCCATCATCACAACAATAAAAAATCACAAAAAATTCGATACCCAAATTGATTAAACGAAAAAAAAGCTACCTTTTTACCAGATTTGTCATGAAAGAAGACTCTATAATCAAGGGTTTGTGGCTGACCATCCTCCTTGACAGTAACCTCAGGGTAATAGATAGCCTTACAAGTATAAGACCTAGTAGGTCTAGAAGAAACCTTGAGATTGTTAAGACGAAGGGCACGGGGACCAAGAAAGGGCTTATTGGTGGTGAGAAGAGAGTAGGTTGAACTGCTAGCTATGGTAATCGCTCTGGTAGTGGCTGCCATGATTGCTGCTGAGAGTGTTTGTGTCGTTTCAAAAACGTGAAAAGAGAGTGCTGTTATTCGAGTGTAAGTGTGTGTGTCTTGTTTCTGATAGGCTTTTGATTTGTTCTGTGTGGCACTGTATCATTGTTGTGTTTTTTTTTTTTATATATTATAAAATAGAAACACTTTTTTAGAAAATGGAATCTGATTTTTTATTTGAAGCGCGTGTGATACTAAAAATTGGAACCTTAGGCACTTTCTTGGGCGTATTCATTCATATGATTACTGGTGGATTGGGAAGCTCCAAAGTGGTCATGAGCATTACTCGGGCCATGAGTAACGAGTAAGGTTGTGAAAAAAAATTGGTTTACAAAAATTTAACTTAAAAATAGGGTGCATTTATTTTAAAAGTTCATATTATTTGGTTTAAAAATTAGTGCAAATTTAATTTATTAAAATTATTAAAAATCAGTGTCCATTTTTTAAAAGAACTTTTTTTATATTAATTAAAAATTAGTCCAAATTTAATTTACTAAAACCATTAAAAATTAGTCTATATATATATATATATATATATATATATATATATATATATATATATATATATATATATATATATATATATATATATATATATATATATATATATATATATATATATATTATTTTTTTTAAGAGAACTTTGTGTTCTCATAGTTTCATAATAATGCATTTAGTCTTTCATCTCACATTTTAAATGTTTATTATTATATTGAAATTATATGATTACTAAGTTGTTTTTGTATGCTTCTTAACTTGAATTAATTCAATTATTAAACTAATATGTTTTTTTAGAAATCTTTTCCACTAAAGTGATGACGGGTGGAGTCAGAAAAATGATAAGTATAAAATAGTATATAGAGAGCATTTTCTTGAAAAGGTGGAAAAAAAAAAGAGATTTTTATATAAATAAGAAAAAAAATTATATGCATGTGAGAGATTGAGTATTTTGTAATTACTCAATTTTGATTTTTCTGATTGAAAATTAATTGATTTTTTTTTTACGGTTCCTTAGCACTTTTTTACATAATTATTACTAATTATTTTAATTCAATTCAATTTATTGTCAATGAATGGTTATTAAATTCAAAAATGGTTGGATGGAGTTAAGAATAAGTTGTTGGATTAAGAATTAAATTTTAGCCGAAATAAGTTTGAGGGAAATTTGGTTTAAAAACTGGTCCAAACAAAAAGTGGCTTTTTAGTGCAAACCAGTTATTAACCAAACCGATACAAACATAAACTGGTATTGAAAAAATAAGCCAGTTTTGTAAAAGTGGTTTTAAAAACCAAACTGATCCATATATTTGGTTCAATTTGGTTTTGTTTTAGAACCATGCACACCCCTATTGCGAAGTTGAGAACTTTTTTGGTGATAAGAAAGAACCTTATGTTACTGATAATGGGAACTATATTGTGGATTTGTATTTTGAGAAGAGTATTGGTGATTTGAAGGTTGCGAGTGATGCCATTCTGAATATTGCTGGTGTTGTGGAGCATGGAATGTTTTTGGATATGGCTACTACTGTTATTGTTGCAGGTGAACTTGGGTTAACTATGAAGAATAAGTAGTTGAGAATTCAGAATTGGGATTTAGGAGAATAATGTTTTAGGTTTAATTATTCGTCTAGGGTTTGGCAATTTGAAATGGGTTTCTAACATTTTATCTAGTGTAGTGCCTAAGTATTTATTTAGTGAATCAATTAGAAGAGTTTATTTTTATTGTTGGGGTAGGGTACTTTCATATGATCCTTGTTGGATTGAATTGAATTGTTGAAGTAAGTGTTTTAATTCTCTGCTAGTTTAGTTTTAGTTTTCTATTTTACTTAATTTGAGCAAGAAGAAAGGGAATGGAGACTTATTGTAAGCTTAATATTAAGCTTAAATAAGTGCTCTTTTGTGTGGTGCACTGAATTAGTTCTCCACACAGTTTCTTGTTGAATTGATGGTGTTTATCATATTAAACTTATCTAATTCAAGTTTTGCTCTCTCTTTTTTCCTTTTGTTTGCTATCATCAAAACTGTTGTCGATTCAGAAATCATTTTTGTCATTTACATAAGCTTCAATGCTAATTGAACATATGATAACCCAGTTAGTATTGGAAGTCCACCTGCAACCTGAGTGGAGATACTTTTGTCAACAGAGTTTGCAAATATTGGAAGCTCTTTCTGACTTTCATATTTTATATTTTATTTGTCTTTTGTTTCTTATGTTTGCAATCAGATAGTTTTAGGGGTCACTCTATTGAAGATGACAACTATCCATTTAGTTGATTTAGTGTTATCAAATATCTGCCACGACGGCGCTATTGTGCATATACTTGCAGTTTTTAGGCTTGCTGCAATGGTAAATATTGCTTGTTTTTCTGCTATAATCTCTGCTATAACGGCGCCACAAAATGACTGATATAATATGGCAGGATTTTGGCTATCTGGCGTCGACAACACTGGTGGATTCAAAAGGATTGATTAATTGTCGTGTCTTATATCTCATGTTCTCTACGTACATTTATCTAAACCTCTATCATCTATACTTACATTTATTTAAACCTCTATCATCTATACTTACATTTATTTAAACCTCTATCAAAAATACGCTCCAACTCTTACCATATACATATATGGTTCAACTCAAATAAGGAGAATGATTGTTCTTCATTCTTCTTTTTTTCAGAGTATCTCATATAGGAAGATGTAAAACTAAGATGCTACTACTTTCTAAGCTTAACTATATGCGCATCTGTCAATAGACCAATTGTGTTAGTAACTAGTCGTAGTTCTATTCCTTTATCAGAAAACATCAATAGAAGGCAAGCTGGTTGGCATTTGGATGATATTTTCCTCAGTAGAGACAATGCATGCTTTCCTGTTATTTGTAACAGGTAGATGAAGCAAAATATTTCATCATAGAACTTATGAAACTGGAATATTACTCAGTTGAAAAGGCTGAAGTGTCAACCACAAAGTAATAAAATTGATAAGACTTGAATATTCTAGTTGAGAGAAATGGGCAGGCGAGGACGACCACCGAAGGTGGTGTCAACGCCGTCATCATCCATCAGCAACAAAGATGATGATACACCATCAGAGAAAAATTCGATTCCAACCACAGAACCCAACCACCATGCAATAGAGAAACCAACAGAGGAGAGTGTGGTAATATAGGAAATCACTGAATCTGAAAACCTAATTTCTCCAAAAGGGGCAACAGAACCTAGACGACTATGGGTCGACGTTATAAGCGGTAATCGGAATCCTGAAAACGGCTTAGCATTGGAATTCATCGCACCAAAGATTGCCAATGGTATTGCAGAAGTAGTAATTGAAGAAGCAGATACGGTAGAAGAGGTTAAATTCTGGGAGACTGCCTTGATCATGTATGTTGTGGGAGGAGACCTAAGCATGAACATGGTCAAACAATTTATGATAAAATAGTGGAATTTTGTCAAATTTCCTGACATGTACTACAACAATGAAGGGTATTTTATGCTGAGGTTTCATTCACACAAGGAAAGGGATGATGTGCTCATGAAAGGTCCGTACACCATACAGAACATGCCGATGTTGTTAGCTGAATGGAAACTAAACTTCAACTTCAAGAATGATATGATGCGTATTATCCCTATTTGGATTAAACTGCCTCAATTGCCACTACACCTATGGGGAGCAAAAAATCTGGCGAAAATAGCGAGTGTGTTTGGAACCCCATTGATGGCTGATGAATGCACCGCGAACAAATACCGAATCTCATATGCTAGAGTCCTAGTAGAAATCAATATCACACAAGCACTCATTACCGAGATAGCTATAACGGATGAAAAAGTGGAGAATATGCAACAACGGGTAGAATATGAATGGCAGCGTCCATACTGCACTAAATGTCAGCGTATCGGGCACAAATGTGAGGAGAAGCAACCAAAAAATCCATTAAAGCAGTGGATTCCCAAACAGAAGGAGAACCAAGATGCGAGGATAGCTGCCAATGAAGATGAAACCTTGAAGACACCTACACAAAAAATAGTAATCAAGGAACATCCTAAAGCTGGGGAAATCGTGCAAACGACAATCAGTAAACACACAGGTGAAGATGAAGGTATGCCATGGACAGAGGTTAGGAAAAAAGACAATGTCAAAGCCAAAGGTACTGATACTGCTAGAAATCCAAAGACTAAAAATCCAACGAAGAACTACGGGAACTTGTGTGCAGCACTCAGGGATGGTTCAACCTCGGTGTTCCTAGAAGATGTCTCATGATCGTCTCTTGGAACATTAGAGGGCTGAATAAAGCGGGCAAAGTTAGGGAGATCAGCTATCGTCTCCAAAAACTAACCCCTGCAATTTCTGTTTTAATCGAGACAAGAGTGAAGGCGAAGAATGCAATGTGTATTCGATAGAAACTGAAGTTAAAAGGTAACTATACAGATAACTATTCAAACCATGATAATGGCAAAATTTGGATCCATTGGGATGATAATAGAAGACATGTGGAATCGATGGAGAGCATGGATCAGTTGATACATTGTCAGGTAAAGGATGTACATGGTAACTTCCTGTGTTGGATGACAGCCATTTACGCACAAAACCAGTTGCATCGCAGGAAGGAACTGTGGCGTGACATACAGAAGATTTCTGCACAACAAACTGGACCGTGGATCCTAATTGGTGATTATAACAATGTTCTGAAAATTGAAGACAGAATTGGCGGCAATGACGTTACAGAACATGAATACATAGACTTGGTTGAAATGATGAGTAAAACATGACTCTATGCAAAAGAAAGTGCCAGTGATTATTTCACGTGGTCGAATAAACAAGGAGAAATGCAATTTACTCAAGAATTGATCATATTCTTTGCAATGTAGAGTGGCTGCAACATAACGGAGATACAACTTTAACAAATATGAACCCCAACATATTTGATCATGCCATGCTTGTGTTAGACGATAATACTGAAGTCCAGCAGCCTAGTAAGGGATTCAAAT